TTAAAAGTCTAAATACACCCATTAAAAGACAGAGATTGTTAGAGTGATTAAAAAAAAAAAAAAAAAAGACCCAACTACAGTAAGTCTTCACTTAACAAGGTCAATAGATTTTGGAAATTGAGACTACAGGCAAAACAATGTATAACACCAATGTTTTTTCTTAGTAATGTTACAATGAAACGATGTTGAACAAAATGTTTTTCAAGACCTGCTGTAAATGGACCTTGAACAATTATCTAACACCTTATAGTGTTGTTATAGAATTGTCAGCAGAACCTAGCAAAGAAGTTAGGTGAGGACATATTGTACAAGAAACCCACTTTAAATATAAAGACATAGAAATTAAAAGTAAAGGGATGGAGAAAGATATAGCGTACTAACACTAATCAAAAGAAAAAAGTAGTAGCTATCTTAATTTTCAGCAAGCTGATTTCAGAGAAAGAAAAGTGATCAGGAATAAAGAGGGGCATCACATAATGATAACGGGATCAATACACCGTGTAGACAAAACAATTCTTAATTCGTATGCACCCAAACAATAACGTCAAATGAGACAAAAACTGATAGACCTGTAAGGAAAAAACAGACGAATTCACTATTACAGCTGGAGACTTCATCACTCCTCTATCATAAATGGACTAGAGACAGAAAGTCAGAAAGGTCACAGTTAAGCTAAACCACACCGTCAACTGGATAAAATTGACAGCTAAAGATGACTTCATCCAATTACAGACTGTACAGCTTTTTCAAACTCATATGGAACACTCATCAAGAAAGATCACATTCTAGGCCAGAAAACACACTTTAAAAATTTTAAAAGAATAGAAATCACATATCTGCTGTCAGATCACAAAGGAATTAAACTATAAATCAACAACAGATAGATGAAAAAATCCCCAAATGCTCGGAGATTAAACAACACAATTCTAATTTGCACAAAGAAAGCTCAAGTGAGATTTTAAAATATTTTGAATTAAATGAAAATATAATGTATCAGTGGAAGTAGTGCTTAGACGGAAATTTATAATATTAAATGCATTCATTATAAAAGAAGAAAGATCTAAAATCAATAATTTAAGCTCACATCATCTTAGGAAACTAGAAAAAGAAGAACAAATTAAATCCAAAGTAAGCAGGGGAATAAAAATTAGCACAGAAATCAGTGAAAGTAAAGACAAAATCAAAGAGAAAACAAAACCAAAAGCTGGTCTTTGAAAAGATCAATAAAATTGATCCATCTCTGTTCAGACTAAGAAAAACAAAGAAAAACATGTCTCTAATATAAGAAATGAAAGAGACAGTATCACTATAGACCACATGGACATTAAAGGATAATAAAGAAATATTATTAACAACTCCATGCTGACAAATTGGGTAACCTAGATGAAATGGACCATCTTTACTGCCAGGTAATGCTTATAATACATGAGAATAACCATATAACTAGTTATGTAAATCTGAAAATTACTACAAAAAAAGTCTACAAATTTTAAAATGGAAAGGAATCATAAAGAACACTGAGTTCCCCTCCATCCATTTGAGGTCTATTACAAAAACTCCAAAGTTATGATTTGCAAAATATGAACCACACTTTACTCCTACCTTCTACATTTCCAGTATCATCAACTGCGACTTCCCATTACACCCCTGTGTCAGTCATGCAAAAACTCCCCATTCTCTGATTCATTTGCTAAGTCCTTTCATAAAGTCATTGTCTGTGAACATGCTACTGCTTCAGCCTGAAATTCACTGGGGCTCATCCATACTTAGAAAACTCCTATGCATCTTTCATCACACTTTGAATAAAATCATCCAGACAAAAGAATTAAGCTAAGAAAAGTTTGAACATAAAACTTTGCGGAATAATTCTAAATACAAAAATCACTGCAAAGAAATCTTGAAGTTTATTTTGTAGGTAGTTTGTTGTTGTACTACTGGTCTAGTAATTATTTTGTATATTGTAGGATACAGCATCTGAATCAATATGACTGATGCTGAGAACCAGGGGTTTACTGTGGGAGAACGGAGATTCAAATATAGAATAAAGGAAGATGAGCAAGAACTCTCTAGTGCTGGGTTTGAGTTGGAGCAATTAGTATGAATTTATTTAAAAAAAAAAAAGTACTCCTTGGTTCTGGTTCTGTCCGCTGAAGGTGCCAATCCATAACAGCAAGATACAGCAATGAGCAAAACTGTACCCAGACTTTGGTTTTCAAATGCCCCTCTACAGTAAAAAGGCAGTACTAGGACTCTTGAAAAAATTGCTGATTCCAGGTCTGGAGCAAGAAAAGTACAAGGTAAGTCTGGGTATTATGTTATACTTTACATTAAGGAAGTACTCAAAGACTAGAGTTATGTCAAAAGGACATTGGTCAAATTTGAGACAATTTTAGCATCAAAAGAGAACATTTTTTTAGTATCCAAAAATTAAGATATACTTAATTACTACACAAGAAGAAAAAAATAATTCCAGGCAATAAACGTAAAAGAAATGTTAGAATTTTTTAAAAATTACCCTTTTTGTAGTCTCCACTGTAATAAATGATGCAAGATCATTAGTGAATGCTAATCCAGTAGGTGAAAGGCTGTACACAGTAAGATGAAAGGCTATTGGGTATACATAGGATCTCAAAGTATCATCTTCACAGATTATATGCTAATTATAAACAGGAAAATATACCTTTACAATGGATAAATCTGACTATCACCACCTTAACCAAATGAAAAAATTAAGCATCCTTCATAGTGGAACAACCTAATATTTGCCTTGAGCTATGATGTACTGTGAAGTTCACATTACATGTCTCCTATATGATACAGACATATCTTCTATGCAACATTTTTGCTAAAAAAATTTATTTTGAATCTAATCAAGGAAACAATCAGGATAAATTAAAAACTTGACACACTTAAAAAAACAACTACCCCAAACATTTTTTTTTTTTTTTTGAATCAGGGTCTCATTCTATTGCCCAGGTTAGAGGACAGTGGCACAATCACAGCTCACCCCAGCATTGACCCCAGGGGCTCAGGAGATCTTCCCAACCTCAGCCTCCTGAGTAGGTGGGTCTATAGGTGTGCGCGACCATGCCTGGCTAACTTTTTAATTTTTTTGTAAGGACAAAGTCTCACTATGTTGTCCAGGATGGTCCAATCAATCCTCCTGCTTCGGCCTCCCAAAGTGCTAGGATTACAGGCATGAGCCACCACGCCGGTCTCCAAATTCTTTTTTTTTTTTTTTGAGTTGGAGTCTCACTCTGTTGTCCAGATAGGAGTGCAGTGTCCGCTCCCGGCCACCGCAGCCTCAACCTGCTGAGCTCCGGCGATCGCTCCGGCGATCCTTCCACCTCAACCTTCCAAGTAGCTGGAACTACAGGCG